CACCAAGACCCAGGCATAGACCCCCAGGTCCGCAGGCGGGGCGGGGGGGGGGGATGTCGCGGCGCGGACGAGGCCCGGCGCCGGCAGCAGCGACTCACCGGTAACCGCGGCCTTCGGCTCGGCCAAGCTGCTTTACGGCACCGTAAAAGGCCCTGAGGACGCAGGCGCGGTGGAGGGATGGGCGTGCGGGCGGTGCGCGCGCCTTGATTCTAGTAGCAGTCGCGTGAGGGCGCGCGTGTCCGCGTTCATCTCCATGCATGGGGCCGCGTTTCTCTCCGCGACCAGGGGCCTTGCTGGCCTTGGTTGGCCCGTGCTTAGGGGGACAGTAGCACGTGTGGTTACCTGTTCAGGGGCACACCTATGTCCTTGGGCACACGTTTTGTTAGGAGCACACCGAATCCATCAGCTGTGGGCATAGTACACTCAGAGACACATACACTCATGGGTACACGCTTGTCTTAGTTATCTAGCGCTGCTATAACAGAAATACCACAAGTGGATGGCTTTATCAAACAAATTTATTCTCTCTCAGTCTAGTAGGCTACAAGTCCAAATTCAGAGCATCAGCTCCAGGGAAAGGCTTTCTCTTCTCTGTCATCTCTGGTGAAAGGTCTCCAAGTCTCTCTGCTCGCTTCTCTCTTCTAAATCTTAAAAGAGACTGGCTTAAGACACAACCTGATCTTGTAGACTGAGTCCTGCCTCATCAACATAACTGCCACTAATTCCATCTCATTAACATCATAGAGATAGGATTTACAACACATAGGAAAATTACATCAGATGACAAAATGGTAGACAATCACACAGTACTGGGAATCATGGCCTAGCCAAATTGACAGATATTTTGGGGGGACACAGTTCAACCCAAGACGAAGCTCAAGTACGCATATACACTCATGGGCACACACTCACAGTCATAGTTACACCCGTGGTTATATGCTTAGGGGTGTATGTGTGTACATATATGGAGCCCTGCTGGTGCAGTGGTTAAGAGCTACGGCTGCTAACCAAAAGGTTGGCAGTTCAAATCCACCAGCAGCTCCTTGGAAACTCTATGGGGCAGTTCTACTCTGTCCTATACGGTCTCTGTGAGTTGGAATTGACTCAATGGCAACGGGTTTGGTTTGATATATATGTATTTCTCCATAGGCCCATGTACACTTAGGGAGACATTGTACGTGTCAGGCCACATACACTTGAAGGCACACGTGTGCTCGGGAGCACATGCCCAGGGCATGGACTCAGTTCCACCCTGGGTACATGTCCATGGACAAGCTCAAGGATATGTTCATAAACTGGGACACTCACAGGACATTTGTTCCCATGCACCCTGTGCCCTAGGGTCCCAGCCCTTGGCTTCACGTCTATATACTGACTGTGGTTTGCCCCATCCCCCAAGTCTAAACACTTGCAGACTCTCCCCCACCAGGTCCCAAAGCCCCTGAGATGCCCCAAGAACAGATCTAGAAGCCATGTGCTTTCCTTTGGCTTTTATCTTCATGAATCACAAAACATGAGTGCACAAACAAATGGACATACGAGTGGACATGCTCTGAAGACATGGTGACATACTCCGGCACATTCACACTGGCACATACCTGTTCACGTGGACACAGGTGGTGACGGGCACGCACTTGAGCACCACACACGGTGATAGATTCCCATGATGTGTAACACACATACATCATGATATGTTTATACACGCAACATACCAGAAGACACTCACACATGTTTACACTGACCGTGAAACAGGCACATGTAACACATGTTGCCAACACCCACACTCAGTGACGCGTTTTTGTGGTACTCACTGACACAGCCACCCACTATGACATGCTTCCACTCACAACACACCATGACACACGTATGAATCACATGTACAGTGAAATGGGTTTGCACACCACACTCGTGGTGACAGCCGCATTCACAGTGATGTATTCCTGTGGAACACACTGGAACACCCACCCTCCACGAAATGCTTACACATACACAACTCCATGACACACATTCATCAGGACATGTGGTTTTCTATATGTGAGGAGGAGTGGCAGGTTCAGATCAAGTTGTGGCCCCTCTTCCATCTTCATTGATAGGTGCAGCCCCTTCCTCCATGCTTCAGGCTGTGGCTGTAATGTCCTCTAATTTATTGAGGTGTAGACTCTGCAGGGGTGGCGATGGAAAAGACACCAAGGGTCAGGCAGAACCCCACCCCTGGGAGAGAAGCTGGGGCCAAGTCCAGGGCTCCACATCATCTACCTCCTCCAACCCAAACTCACATGGATTCTGCTTCTTCTCCAGTTCCTTCAAAATTGTCTCCATTTTCTTCTCCAGCTCCACCTTGACTTGGTTCAATTCTGGTGGAAGTGGGGACAGGAGGAAGCTGGGGAGGGACCTCAGATAAGGCCCTCACCTTCACTGGAAGCCCCTTCCTGCCTGACCCCTAGCCTGGGGTGCTGCAGACCCCATGTCCTTGGAGTTCCCAGCAGAATTTAAATAAATACCCCTGAGCTTTGGGAAGGTGGTGACCCTGACTGCCCCCTCCACTAAATCCCTAGCACCCAGCCCCGTGATGGACATCAGTACAAACTCGTCAAATGAAGACAAGATCTTCAAGGGCACCTTTTTTCAGTGTATCCAATTTCACGTTCTCCTTCTGCACATTGGTATCAACTGTGTTGATGGTCATCTTGATCTGGCTAATGGCCTGCTGGACATGGCTCTGGCTCTTTTTCTGCTCCTCCTGGCTCTCGCGCATCGAGTTTGAGACTGAAGGCATGGGACCAGGTGCCCAAGTCACCACCACTCTCACAGGAGGCCCCAACCCCCACCACAAACTCTCAACCCTCCTGGGTCCCCCCCTCACCATTTAACAGCTCCGTTTTCAAGACCAGCAACTCCTGGGACATCTCAGAATCTGTCAGGAGGGGGCAGGGAAACCCATCAAGTGTTCCAATTCTGCCCCCCTGGGAGCAGAGTTGGGGAAGGGAGAGGAGGTGGGAGAAAAGGGAACAGGGTGGAAACACTGGGCCTACCCAGCTCCTGAGGACACCTCCCCACTGCCCCAGGCCTCCCCCCAACCAAAAAAAAAACAGCACAACTCACTCTTCAATAGGACCATGGCTGAGAGAATGATGAAGAAGACAAAGGTTAAGGCGAGGAGAATGTACAGGCTCATGATGGCTCTGTACAGCCAGTGAGGGATCTGGGCAGGAGCTGAGAGCGGCCTGGACTGGGCTGGGACTGGGACAGAGAAGCAAGCCAGGTGACCTCCAGGGCTTCAAGTGACCACCACTCAAACCATCAACAACACCGTCTCTAACCTCATCAACAGCTCTGTCACCTACACTCCCTCTTCCCAATAGCATTAGCATCGGTCACCATCAACAATGCTCTCTCTATCACCATGAACAACACTGCCACCAACATGCACCCTCACCAGCACCATCAGCAACTGTCCCTAACACTGTCACCACTACAACCCCCTTACCATCTGTTATGGATTAATTTGCATCTCATTCAAAATATGTGTTGGAATCCTAACCCCTATACCTGTAGATATAATGTAATATAATCATTTTCCATAATGTTGTAATCTAATATAATGTAATCACCATCCATAATGCAATCTAATGGAATGTAATCATTCAGTTGAAGTCATACCAATGTAGGGTGGATCCTAAATCTAATCACTTCTGAGTTGTAAAAAGAGCAGAATAGACACAGAGACACGTGTGCACACACGGGGAGACAGACAACGTGAGCATAGTCTACAAGCAAAGAAACACCAAGGATTGCTGACAGACACCAGAAACTAGGAGAGAGACTCACAGAAGGAATCAACATGACTGAGACCCTGATTTGGACTTTTAGCCTCCAAAACTGTGAGAAAATAAATTTCTGTTCTTTAAAGCCACCCATTTGTGGTATTTTCTTATGGCAGAACTAGATAACTAAGACATCATCTTCCTCAACATTACTCTCCAACATCAGCAGCAGCTATCATCAGACTGACACCATCAACAGCCTTCTTGCCAACACCATCACCAACATTCAGCATCAGTGTCCATCGTTTCCAGCACTGTCACCATCAACAAGCCTCACTGGCACCATCAACAGTTCTGTCACCTATTCCTTCTTGATCAACTACGTTGTCACCTACATTCACTCTCTCCAATGCCATCACCCAAACCTTCACCCACACCATTACCAACACTATCAACAAACAGCATCATCACCGAAAGTTCAGGTATCTCATCACCATCACCACTTGCAAAGCTTTCCCTACCATGTCACCATCACAATCATTGATGCCACCATACCTCACACCATTAACTCCAACTTCCACTTGCAGCTCCTGCCCCTCTCCCCTGCAGTGCCCCTCCCACCTTTCCCTTCCTGAGGTTGGGAGACGTGGGCAGGTAGGCATCTCCTCACCCTGACTCACGGGTGGTGAATGGCCACCCTTTGGCCGGTGCTGGTTTCTGAAGGTCAAGGTGATGTTCTCATAGTCAGGGTCTTCTGCACCTGTAGGGTGGGTTGGTAGGAGGGGTTGTGGAAACCTGCCCAGAGCTTTGGGGGTGGAGCTCAGAAATCTTTGTTCACTGAGCTCCTGCACACGACAAATGTCTGGGGGTAAAAGATAAGATCTGAGGAAATAAGTTCTGCTTCTCAATTAAGCAGAGCGGGTGTGTGTGATGCACACACACACACGTACACATCTTGGGCATGGAAGGAGCCAGCCTCTGAACCCTCCCTTCAGCCTTTTCCCTCTCACATATCAACCCTTCCTTCTCAGCCTCTCAAGACCTCACCCCAAGGATCTGCACCTTTGTTTTTGGCTGGGCCCCCTCGTTTTTTGTCTTTGGAGGCTGCCGCCTGCATCTTCACCTCCTGGTTCATGTAGATTTCCGCAGCCTCCATGGTGCCTGGCCTGCCAAGACATCCCCACCCACCGGAAGGTGTCGGGGAAGATGAGGAAATTCTGGGTTAGAGGGGAAGGAAAGAAGGCTTAGCCTCCTCGCCTCAGGGCTCCACCACGTCCCTCACCCTGGGATATCTTCACTCCCCTCCAGGTCAAGAGTTCTTAGGGGACCAGAGAGCTTGCAGAGGGCCAAAAAGAGAAGCCTGCAGACTCAGAGATGAACAAGAATGGCCAAGAAGTTAACAGGAAGCTGTGTGTGTATGTGTCTGTCTGTCTATCTGCCTGTCTGTCTCTCTGTCTACTGGGTGGACGTCGTCCTGCCATCTCCTCTCAGTCCCAGGAGAGAGGCTGTGGGACCTCAGAGTCTCACTTTTTAGATTAAGGACAGCTGGTATTTGAGGCAGAATTTCTGGGTACCCCAGGCTTCTTCCCCTCCCCAGTCATACCCCTCAGCTCCACCCCTAAGAAATTCTACTTCTCCAAGGCTCCTGCAGAGGAAGGGACGGATGTGGGGCAAAGGGGCTAACCACTGGGACTCCACACCCACATCTGGGCCTGAGGCCAGATCTACTGCCCATCCTTTGCCCTACAAACCTTGGAGGTGCAGTTTGCCCCGACCCTTGGGACCACAGACCAAGAAACCCTCAAATTACACACGCACTCTCATCCACGTGTGTGAATACATACCCAGTATCTTAATTTCCTAGGGCTGCCATAACACAAATACCACAAGTGGATGGTTTTCAAGAACAGAAATTTATTTTCCCACAGTTCTGGAGGCTAAAAGTCCAAATCAGGGTCTCGGTTCCTTGCCAATAACCCTAGACGTTAGTTCCTTGACTTGTAAACGATCCTCACATGGCATCTGTCTTCCCCCGTGTGTGTGTGAGTTCTGAAAGAAAATCTGTTTATAATCTGGAGGCAGAACATACCCTACAGCAACTCCCTTTTCGACTGATTGATTATATTACATTAGATTTACGTTGTAGAAAGTGATTACATTACATTACATTAATTACATTAATTACATTACATTACATTACATTACTTTACATTACATTACATTACATTACATTACATTACATTACATTACATTACATTACATTACATTACATTACATTACATTACATCTGGGAGATAATCTGCTCTACCCAAGGCCAACTGATTTAATCACAGTCAAATCATGTAACTACTCCAAATCACGTAGCAACTAGACTAGTATTTGGCCAAACCACTGGGAACCATAGCCTTGCCACGTCAACACATAAAATTAACCATCACACCCAGACTCACACACACTCCCTCACTTGTGCACACACACTTCTGAACACCCCGTCACCTGTATGCTCACAGATACACATCACACACTCATTCGGGTACTTCACACTTGCTCACGCAGAGAAATAGACATATTCATGCATTCACACACTTGCACTCTCTGTCTAGAAGGTGACTTGAAGTTTATCTGAGCTTTGAAAGTTGGGGATCCTCTTTGTTTGAAAGTTGGGGATCAACTTTGTGTTTATCTGAGCTTGAAGGTTTGGGGATCAAAAAGGGACAAAATATATAGGGAATTTTCTCTAGAATTAAGAGCAGTGCCTTCCAATAGAAATATAACAGGAACCACATATGTAATTCAAAATGTTCTAGTAGCCACATTAAAAAGGCAAAGAGCCCCCGAAACTATCGCCCTGAGATCATCTTTAAACCTTAAACCGAAAATATCCCGTAAAGTCTTCTTAAAACCAAACAATAAGTTAGCTTAACTAGTAAAAAAATGTCTGCCTTGAGCATTATGCGCTTTTAAGAACTATCTAACAAAAAACAAAAAAACAAAAAAAACACCAAACCCGTTGCCTTCAAGTCAATTCCGACTCATAACAACCCTATAGGACAGAGTAGAACTGCCCCATAGGGTTTCCAAGGAGCTGCTGGTAGATTCAAAC